AACATAAACTAATTTTTCGTGCTACTTATTTGGTTCATATGTGAGTGTAAAAAAGTGATTGTTGAATAACTCGCTCAATATTCATTGGATAATATTGAAACCACCACCAAAATACTTGTCATCAATTTTTACATTAGGATTGTCTGTTCAATTTTCATAATATGTATTTTTCCAACGTTTCAAACATAATCTAATTTTTCGTGCTGTATATCTGGTTCATATGTGAGTGTAAAAAAGTGATTGTTGAATAACTCACTCAATATTCATTGGATCATCTTGAAACCATCACCAAAATACTTGTCATCATTTCTTACAATAGGATTGTCTACTTCATATTCATGTTATCTATTTTTCCAGTGTTTGAAACAATAACCAATTTATCGTGCTCTATAACTGGTTCATATGTGAGTGTAAAAAACAGATTGTTGAATAACTCACTCAATATTCATTGGATCATGTTGATACCATCACCAAAAAACTTTTTATCATTTCTTACTATAGGATTGTCTCTTAATATTCATATTTTGTATTTTTCCAGTGTTTGAATCATAATCCAACTTTTCATGCAACATAAATGGCTCATATTTGAATGGGAATAAACGATTGCTAAATGATTCTCTCAATATTCATTGGATCATCTTGAAACCTACACCAAAATATTTGTCATCAATTTTTACTTCTAGAAAAGATTACCTAAGGCCGCGTGCACATTGGAAAGCGTTGTGCGGTGAGCGATGGGCGGTGAGCGACGAGCGTTGAGCGGTGAGCGATGAAGTGTGTACACTAAACAGCACGCGATCAGCGTTGTCTATAATATTTTAGTCACCTGCAGTCATCACCATGGTACTGTGCTCAAAAAGTCGACGTATTTTACTTACCGATAATACATTTTTACGAAATCGCTTTCGAAGTAAAAAACATAGAAGGATTTCAGTTCATGAAATAAACAAAAAACGTAATGTATTTGGCGAGTTTCATCATATTTATAATGAATTAAGAAGAGATAATGAAAGGTTTTTTAAGTTTTTACGTATGTCAAGAGAGACTTTTGACTTTATTTTGTCCAAAGTAAAATTTAAATTAACCAAAAAAACGACAAATTTTAAAAAACCAATTTCTGCAACCGAAAGACTTTATGTGACATTTAGGTAAGTCATAACTCATAATGTATTACGAATGAATGTTTTATTACATTGATAACAACATAGTTTTACAATAGCTTTTTCTCAAACATGGAAATAGAAATTAAAACATAGGAAATTAAAATAGCTGAAGTAAAAAATTAAATAAAAATAAATTTCACAACTCCTTTGGTACTTGAAAAAACGTACTATTATAACTTAAGCATACGCCTTAAAAATAAATAATACAAATTGATTATTTTAATTTTATTAAATTAATTGTAAATATTTTGAGTATAAATATTTGGAGTACTTAAATCTTGCCCTGTGTTTTGTGGAAACTGGTGGTAAGTTTCTTTCTGAGAACTTTCTTGAGACGAAATCGTTTGTGGTGGAATGTACATCATTGCCCTTTCTTTTTCGATTTCTTTATGTTGTAATGTTTGGAAAACTACATTTTGAATATTTGTTCTTAGTTGTAATTTTTCCAAAGCATTTAATTTGTCAAAATAAGGCAACAGACTCATTAAAAAGTGGTACTCGGGATTATTCGTCATAGTTGAGTCCCTTTTTTGCTCTTCCCTAATGAGATCTAGTTTTTGTTGCTCTATTTGCAAAAAAGGATCATAGTCCATGTCTTCAACACGTCGTTTCTTACACCTTTTTTTTCAGAGCGGGTGTTGAAAATTCATTTGAAGAAAAAGAGGCAGGTGTTTCTGGAAGAAGCCCGTCAGTAGTATTTTCTTCGTAATTTCCAATTTCGATAGACTCATCTTCTGAGTCATTTATTTCTGAACAAGTCTCAGAAGTCATAGTAGTAGGAAGATTTCCACTTGTTACACTTGGAATTAGTGTGTCTTTCACAAATAACATTAATTCGAAATATGGCCATTTTGGCTTGTAACTTCTGCCTCCTGCCCCAGACCTTACAACAGGAATTTTTTGAAGCTCTACTCTAAATTTGTCTTTAAGATTCTTCCACTTTGCTTTTACAATTGCACCTAAATTAAAATAACTATTTAAATTAATTGTATATTATTTAATTCAATGACTCAGTTCATAAATTTTTCAATAAACTTTCACGTTGAATACATTTAAGAAGAACAAAATTAAATCTATTTTAATATAATCAATATAGGGTGAAAAGACAGTGATTGAACAGTTTAAAATTTGTGTGCTATTAAAATGTATTATAAATTGGAGATGTACATTTTTTATTTAATTTAATTTAATGCAATTATCTATTTGTTCATTAGATATTTATCTACTGGCCTTTCTTTTCGAAATTTGGCAGTTACACTAAGAATGGGAGCTTCGACAGTAGGTAAAATTGTACACGAGACTTGTAAAATAATCTGGGAAGAATTAGTTGAAGACTTTATGCCTGTTCCGAATCAAGACCAGTTAGTAAAAATTTCAGATGATTTCTATAGACGATGGAAATTTCCTAACTGTATAGGATGTATAGATGGCAAGCATTGTCAAATCAAATGTCCCATAAATAGTGGGGTTCAAGCTATTTCAATTATTTGAAGTATTTTTCATTAGTTCTTCAAGGTGTAGCAGATGCGGATAAAAAATTTATATTTATCGAAGTTGGTTCTAGAGGTAAGAAGAGTGATGGAGGGACGTTCGCAGCATCGACACTTTTTCAACATATACAATCCAATACCTTTTTACCACCCGATAAGGAATTACCCGGAACTACAATTAAATTACCTTACGTGTTCATTGGCGATGAAGCATATCCTTTAAAAACGTTTCTCATGAGACCATTTCCAAGTCGCAATTTGAATGCCTTTAGAGAAAATTATAATAAACGTTTGTTTGCTGCTAGAAAATGCATTGAATGTGCATTTGGTATACTGCGTGCCAAATGGCGAATACTAGGTAAAGATATTGAAGTTAGTTCTGACAAAGCTGTACACATTATTAAGTGCGCTTGTATTTTACATAATGTGGTGCGTGAAAAAGACGGAGATAGTGATCTCGATTATTGTCAAGAAATGTTATACAGTAATGCTCAGGAAAACCAAATTAATAATCTACATGAAACAGGAAATCACGGTGGTGCACGCAGAGGGTCAACAAGAGCACAAGAAATTCGAAATGAATTTGCAAAATTTTTTTTGGACCATTAAACTTAGAAAGCTGGCCACTACATAATAATTTTTACTTTAATTAATTAGTTTATCAGTAAGTAATTCTGTATGAAAATAATGATATGTATACAAATGTTATCATGATATAATGTACACATTTTTAAAGAAAACTTGTTTAGAAATAAAAAACAGATTATTAACCTAACCAAAATTGATCTCCGTAGTTAGTTACACTACAAACAGTTTTAATTTTTCCAAAATATTAAATTACAATGATAATTTGGTTTTTTAATATTCAGGGCTCGGGACTTAATGTACTTAAAAACTTGAAAATATGCATTTACATATGCACGTAAAAATGTCGAAATACCTATGCATTATCGATAAAATATGCAGTATAAACCTATACATCTTAATAATATGCGTTTTCAGAAAAAAATACCAAAATATCCAAGTATAATATGTGTATTTTCCGAACAAATATGCAAAATGCATCAAGTCCCGAGCCCTGTTACTAATCAATAATTGGAATATATTATTATTTTTTTTTTTTTATTAATAGCTTTTAGTATTATACTATAATAGCTCAACAATTATGTTGTTATACATATATAAACATACAGAAAAATATATTATTTTATGTACATATAAACGCAGTATGAGCACGTGCATGATAGTTGGTGTTTGTGTGTAGGATAAAAAACATATAATTATTGAATTTACAACAACAACAATAATATCAGTATACCAAATTCCCATTTAGTTTTAACACACAATAAAAATTTAATCTTAAAATCCATTAACTATATATGTAAATTATCTTGTAAAAAAAGGTTTCGTTGTTTGGATTTGATAAACAAACATCTAAATTTAAGAATATGATCCATCAAAAATATGACCTATCTATTTGGACGGTAAAAATGCAAACTCCTCTATTAAAAACTGACATTACGCTACTGTAGTAATATTAATATATTATTTTACCTGAAAATCCAACTACTTTCCCAATTTCTTCCCACATTTTCTTTGTTATATCCGTTTTTTTATAATCTGGATGCCGATCATTCCACAAAATAGGTTTTGATTGAACTTCGGAAATTAATAGTTCTCGTTGCTCATTTGTAAACTTATTTTTTGAACACATGGTGCTTTTTAAATTAATAATTTTATGCAATTATAAACAGTTGACAACGCTCATAATTCAAGACGTCTTGAAAAATAAACAACGCAACGCGCACAGCGCAGCGCTAAACGCTCAACGCCCAAGGTCAGTGTACACAGATCCGATAAAATTACAGTGTTTGATTTATTTTCGTCAACGCTCATCGCTCACCGCCCATCGCTCACCGCGCAACGCTTTCCAATGTGCACGCGGCCTAAGGCTCAATTTGTTTATTTTTTTTAATGTATTAAATTCATAATAACATTGTTTCTGCTAAATGTACTAGTGTAATAGATATATTCAAATGTAAAATTGTGTATTTTGAATAACGCCCTTAATATACATTGGATCAGTTCGAAACGTACACCAATAGATTTGTCATAAACTCATAACTTATTAACCTAGAATGTTTTACTTAATGTTATTTTTTTTTTTTTTTTAATCGTAAAAACATTTATCATTCTAAATGTACTGGTATACAAATGTTAAATTGTGTTTTCTTAATTACACACTCAATATTCATTGGACTGTCTCAAAACCTACACCAATAGATTTGTCATCCCTTCCTTCTCTAGAATAGTCTACTTAACGTTAATTTTGGTTTTTTCATAGTGTTATTAATTCTTAAAGTTGTCAAGGTACGCAACCGTCACCGGTTCAAAGTACACGCACTGCAGCGACCTGTGTACACTATCACCACCACCAAGTGTAGAGTAGCTATATTGACAGCCCTCTCACCCTCCAACGCTATAAAGGCCTAGGCGTGACAGCAAGACAAATCGCACTGGACGAGTACCGGACCCCGACTCCACGACACTTTTTACACAGATAGGCAACGCGACATTGTCGTCCGTCTCTATGACATATATTTTTTTTCCTCGCTGAAAATAAATATCAATCTTGTTTTTCTTTCTTGAAAACCGTATTTTTTTTTTTAACCAAACGCATTTGGTCGCTCGTCTACCGTCAAATCACCAATAAGACGTGAACGGCTATCCACGGGTTCACACTCTTTTATTAATTCGACACCACAGCAACTGTCGAAGCCGTGTCAAAGTTATATTATATCATTTCAAATGAACGAATATAATTGTCATAAGCAAATGTTAAATTCTGTTTTTTATATAACGCACTCAATGCTCATTGGATCATCTTGAAACGCACACCAAATGATTGTTCGTGTTTTTTCAAACACTGCAAGTATGTTTTCTCTGTTAATTTTGTGTTTTTAAACAGTTTTTTGAAGTCATTAAATAATTTATCTTGCTAAAAATAATCCACAATATACGTCTACAAAACTGAGAGCTGAATACCACACTAAATATTATTCATTAGATCGTTTTGGAAAAAAACCCAATTTTCGTCAATGTTCTTACTCTAGATGTTTACTCTTTTGAATTTTTTTTTTCTTCTATTTGTAGGTTTTTCAATATTTTAATCGGCGTTATCAAAATTGACGTAGCTCTCTTATCTATAATAATTTAAATGATTCATTTGTTATTCATCAGATTGATAGGAAGAAGAAATATTAGTTATATATTTTTTTTCATTTTGTTTTTAGCACTGCGTCGTTGATTATTGTGTTTATATTTCTACAACAATACCTTTTTATAGTATTTTAATCTGCACTCTTGTAATGATATCAAACATTAGTTGTTATTACACAGTTTGAATACTTTTGTTTTTTTTTTGGTGTGTTCAATGTTAAATGTAGGTAATTGTAAATGCTTTTGAAATTAATCCTCTTTACTATAATATGTTTTATGTCGTTGATTTTGTGAATACTTTGTTATTAATTTCGTGAATGTTTGATTGCTCTTATTCAACTGTACAATAAATTCTTGTTTTGTTGTTGCTTAATGTCTTATTAACAAATTTTTTTCATATTTTTTTTTGTTTTAGCAGTGGAATCAAAATGCTTGTTATTTTTACGAATTTTAAACTTGCTATGAATCCATCTTTTTTTCGAGACACGCGATTTTGTTGTGTTCAATTTAATATTGAAAAGGTTCTATGACCGAGATTGAAAGTAAGTTCTTCATTTATTCATGTATGTGTCGTATATGATATTTTAATTGTTAATGAAATAAAAGGTTGTTGAAATTTATTCTTTTCAAATAGTCATAAAGTATATAAAAATTAGGATAGTGTAAAAAATTGATTGACAGAAAGTAGTAAATGCAATAAATTTCAAATTTGATGTAAGGTAATCTGTTTTTGTGTTTAGTTAAAAAAAATGTAAGGATTCTGTATGGCGTAAAATTGGTATAAATTACATCTATGAACTGTATTTGATTTGCATCTAACTGCATATGTGTTTCGGTCATGGTCAATTGAATCTGTATTTTAAGATTTTTATCTTGTGCCAATAGATAGCATTGAGGCGTTCATTGACCATTTCAGCTAATAATTTAATGTCAAGAAACGTGATTTTTGTTAATTTTACTGTATGTTTTCTTTGATAAAATTTATTTTTGTTTATTATTTCAATTTTTTTTAATTTTAGAACTGTTGACTGTATACTGAGGGTTGTCTGTTTAACATATATAATGGTGGAAATACTATTGCTTATATTGATGTTTTTTCGGCCATTAGATATTGTTTTCGAAAAGAACAACAGATTTTATTTATTTATTAAATCTAGTTTCATAAGTGTTAAGAAATTTTTTTACAACAAAGTTTCTATTTATGTGTTAAAGTTTGCATTAGATTAGTTATAGAGCATTCAATGTTCATTGGATCATCTTGAAACCAAAAACAGAAGATTTGCCATCACTTTTCATTCTATGAAAGTTTATTTGATGTTCATTTTGTTTTTTTTTTTAGTGTTTTTAAATAAAATCAATTTTTCATGCTGAATATACTAATATGCTAGTCACTTATAAATGTAAAAATCTGATTGTTGAATAAGTTAGTCAATATTCAACGGATCATCTTGAAACCAATACCCAAAAAATTTGTCTCGTCTTTCTATATACAGAAAAATTAATATCGAGCTCACTATATTTCTTTCAGATTTTATTATAGTTAAAAACCATTTTTATGCTAAATACATTACCAAATATACATTTATAAAACTGAAAACCTAATCATTTACTCTATATTCATTGAATTATCTTAAAACCAAAACCAAAAGACTCATCTTGTCCCTTTATTTAAATATTAATATACATCATGCTCACTTTGTTTTGTTCAATTTTTTAAAATCAAAAAATCTTTTCATGCCAAATATATTGGTCATGTTTAAATGTATAAAACTGATTGTTGAATAACTCACTCAATATTCATCCGATCTTCTTGAAATCAAAACTAAAAGGTTTTTCATCACTTTTTTACTCTAGATGATTACATTTATTGTTAATTTGTTTTCTACAGTTTTCAATACCTCAAACTGTTTTCATAGTAGACATACTGCTGTTATCTAAATAACTGGAATAAATCATTTAATATCCATCATATTATTTTGTAGATACATAACTTGTTTTATATGGTTTTTCAGTGTGCTATTTAGCATAATGACAATGATTATTATGTTTATTGAGTTTTCCATTGTCAAGTAAAAATTGTTTTATCTTATTTTGAAGAGTATTCATAAAGTACTGTCAGTTAAGTGTATTTTTATTTCTATTATAAAATGATATTTTTACATACAAAAAACTTATGAACAAACATAATAGATAATATGTAAACATTTTTCGTTTTAGATAATGGTGAAGATTTTTTGATTTTGGTTTTTAGATGATGCTATGAATATTGAATGTTTTATTAGCAAATTTAAGTAGTTTTATAAGATAAGTGTAGTATTGTTTTTATTATAAAATGTCTTTTTTACATTAAAAACCCCTCTGGAACAAAAGTTTTGAAATTTATGTTAACTTATTAAGATT